CCTGAGCCCACGGGTTCAAGACCAGCCTGGGCAACTTACTGAGACCTCATTTCTACAATAAATTTAAAAATTAGCCAGGCATGGTGACACACACCTGTAGTTTCAGCTACTTGGAAGGCTGAGGTGAAAGGATCGCCTGAGCCAAGTAGGTCAAGGCTGCAGTGGTCATGAGCATGCCACTACACTCAGCTTGGGCAACAGAGTGAGACTCCAACTCGAAAACAAACAAACAAACAAAAATGATAAAAATTTGGGGGCACTTAATCTTCTTTCTCTGAAAGAAGCATTAACTTTTATCATTCTCTGACTAAACTGTTGCCAAGACTCCTCAATCTTCTATAATTACCTGTACCCTGTAATTCTCTATTCCCTTTACATGATGGGAGCCTTGTTTAAATAGTTCTCTGCCCTCTCTTTCAGAAGACAAGTTGATTATTTCAGGATAAGAGAATACTTTATGCATATAATAGTTAGAACTGTTGCCCCCAACAACATCTCTTTGGTGTCAGCATGTGTCTCTGCCCCTAAGCACATGAAGAATTGTGGACTCAAATGTTGAACCCTCATTTGGCCAATAGAATTATGTTGGGAAATTATCCAGAATCTAGTATGGCTTATTAATAAGTATTAACTGGAAATAATTACAGCTCTTTGGTCTAATAGTTGTGCTGTTGCTGGAGTTAAGACGCATTATTGGAGATTTCAACATTCTAATTATCCTTTTTTTTTTTGAGTTCGTTTCCCTCTGTCACCCAGGCTGGAGTACAGTGGCATGCATGCTCATGGCCACCGCAGGCTTGACCTGCTGGGCTCAGGTGATCCTTCTGCCTCAGCCTTCCAAGTAGCTGGAACCACAGGCATGCATCACCATGCCCAGCTTATTTTTTGATTTATTATAGAGATGAGGTCTCGCCATGTTGCTCAGGCTAATCTCAAACCCCTGAGCTCAGGCAATCCTCTTGCCTCCACCTTCTAAAATGCTGGGATTACAGCCTTGAGTCATCACACCTGGCAACTCTATTTATCCTTTAAGATAGGACCTAGTTATCATACCTGGGACTTCTACTGAATTTATACCATCTCTACCTTTTTTGGCTTCGTTTCAGACAAAGATGGCTTACATTTTTCTAAGAAAATGTTCCCAGTATGATTTCCTAATTATTAGCATTCATGTCATTCTGCCTACCTACCTAGATTCTTCCCTTGGTAGACAGAACTGTATGTTTGTTTGTTTTTTCCTGTATAGTGGGTTGACCATACGGGTGCAGCCTCACAGAAGAAGGCTTTTCATGCAGCAGGCTTTGGAGTAGAGTACAACTCATTTCAGCATCAGTTGCGAATCCAGGATCAAGAATTTCAGGAAGGCTTTGATGGTGGTTGGTGTCTCTCTATGCATCAGCCCTGGGCTTCTCTGCTTGTCAGAGGTATTAAAAGGTAAGAAGAAAAATGAATCTTGGCAGTGGAAGATCTTAAAGTAGCATAAACTAAATTTAGAAACATGGATTGGAATTTGTTTTCCCCAGTCTAGTGGTGATTTATAATCTTCAGTAGATAGAGCTTTAAACAATGTATTCATGTTACTGACTTGGTAGTAGTATTTTTTAATTAATTAACACATTTTGGGGGCTGGGTATGGCAGCTTATGTCTGTAATCCCAGCTCTTTGGGAGGACAAAGTGGAAGGATTGCTTGAGCCCAGGAGTTCAAGACCAGCCTGGACAAAAGAGCAAGACCTTGTCTCTACAAAAAAATCAAAAATTAACTTGGCGTGATAGCACATGCCTGTAGTCTCAGCTATTTGGGAGGGTGAGGCAGAAGCATTGCTTGAGCCCAGGAGGTTGAGGCTACAATGAACCATGATTATTATGCCACTGCATTTCATCTTTGGCAGTAGAGCAAGACTCTGACTCTAAAAAAAAGAGAACGAGAAAGAAGAAAAGAGAAACAGAAATAAACATTTAAAAAAATAGAGATAGGGTCTTGCTATGTTGCCCAGGCTGGTCTTGAACCCTTGGTTTCAAGTACTCTTCCTGCCTCAGCCTCCCAAACTGCTGGAATTGTAGACATGAGCCACTGTGTCCAACCTTAAAAAAATTTTTAATTGGCAAATAAAAATAATAGTAGTAGTTTTTTAACTGAATAGCTAAAAAAAACAAACTGAGCTTTAAAAAGATAAGGATCCAAGTCATAAGAGAGATAGAATACTACTAATTTTTTCATCTTGGAAGGAAGTCTATTTAGAAAACTTCTCCTGACTTTGTCTTCATAATACACTACTAGCAGCCAGGCGCAGTGGCTCATGCCTGTATTCCCAGCACTTTGGAAGGCAGAGGTGGGAGGATTGCCTAAGCTCAGGTATTTGAGACCAGCATGAGCAACGTGACAAGACCTTGTCTCTAATAAATTAAAAAATTAGCTGGGCATGGTGGCACACGCCTGTAGTTCCAGCTACTTGAAAGGCTGAGGTGGGAGAATCACCTGAGCCCAGCAAGTCGAGGCTTTGGTGGCCCTGAGCATGCCACTGGCACTCCAGCCTGGGCAACAGAGTGACTTAGCCCCAGTCACACTCCAAAAATATATATACTAATGTCAACCTTAATGGTTTGATCCTATTTGAAATTTAAAGTTTTTATGACTTTATTTGTTTAAGACATCTACATAACTCTGATTTTATTTTCTAGCTTATGCAACTATGATTAATCTGACTAATGACATTGTGAAACTATTTTATCTTTTCTACAGAAAGTGGGAAAATAGCAAGAGATAAGTAGAGGTCTTATAGAGTTGAGTCTTACATGTTAATGGTGGTAATAGCTTACTATTCCATGATTTCTTATGCTTCTTCTTAAACCAAATTTTTTTGTGTTTTGAGTCTGAGTCATACTCTGTCACCCAGGCTGGAGTGCAGTGGCATGCTCACAGCCACCGCAGCTTTGACCTGCTGGGCTCAGGTGATCCTTCCGCCTCAGCCTTTCCAGTAACTGGAACTACAGGCACACGCTACCACACCTGGCTTATTTTTTTTTTATTGTAGAGATAAGCGCTCATCAAATTGCCCAGACTGGTCTCGAACTCCTGAGCTCAGGCAATCCTCTCACCTCAGCCTCCCAAAGTGCTGGGATTACAGGCTTGAGATACGTGCCTGGCTTAAAATCAGTTTTCTAAAATAGTTTTTTTCTGGCTGGGCGTGGTGGCTCATGCCTATAACCCAGCACTTTGGGAGGCTCATCTGAGAGGATTGCCTGAGTCCATGGGTTCAAGACCAGCCTGGGCAACTTAGCGAGACCTCATCTCTACAGTAAATAAAAAAAAAAAATTAGCTGGGCATGTTGGTGTGCACCTGTAGTTCCAGCTACTCAGTAGGCTGAGATGAAAGGATTGCCTGAGCCCAGCAGGTCGAAGCTGCGATGGCTGTGAGTGTGCCAATGCACTTCAACCTGGGTGATAGAGTGAAACCCCCACTCAAAATTTTAAAAAAGTTTTTTTCATTGCTTTCAACTATATAAATAAAAAATTGGAAAGTACAAAAAAGTAGCTAGAAAAAGAAAGATTATATCTAATTCCTCACCTAGAAACAGCTATTGTTAACATTTTGGAGTGTTTATGTCTATTTTTTTTCCTGTGAAAATTGTTATATAATGAGATCATGATATATGTTTGTGTTTGTTTTTCTTCTCACTTATTACAACATACTCATTTCTCTTTTTTTTCTCATTTTTCATTCTTATTTTTCCTGTTAGAAATTTATGTACCTGGCAATATCCCAACATATAACAGTAAAAATGCTTTATATTTAAATAGAAGAAGTTTAGTTTTCAAAACAGTAGCTCTAGGGAATACAGTCATGTGCCACGTAATGACATTTTGGTTAACAATGGAACATGTATACAATGGTATTCCTATAAGATTATAATACCATATTTTGCTGTACCTTTTCCATGTTTTAATGTGTAAATACACAAATACCATTGTGCTACAACTGCCTACAGTATTCTGTACAGCAATATTCTATAATTGTAATGTCTTTCATCTAAACTAAATAATCTGGAGTTACCAGCAAGTGTGTAAGTGCACTCCATAATGTTCATACAACGACAAAATCTCCGAAGGTCACATCTCCTTGAATGTATCCTCGTCACTGAGTGACACATGACTATAGATTAGGCCAGTATTACTGTACTCTTTGGCAAATAAAGACACTGAGGCAGGCAAAAGTAAAGTAGATTGCTCTGAGTTACAGAGCCCATTAGTGGCCAAGATGGAACTGGAGCTCAGGTTTTCAGAGTTCTCTTTTCACTCTGTTGTGCATGCTTAAGTCATTTCCCTACTTTACTAAAAGAAAAATTATCATCAGCACTTGAGCACAATAGTTTCTGCTTTGGTGGTTTCATTATCAGCTGTCATTTCTCTCTTTTATTGAGGAGAGATACACCTTCTCTTGAGGTCAGGCTTTCCTGCTTTGGTTCCTCATTGTTCATAGCTCGTGTGTGTAGTGTCATGAGAACAAGTGCCTGTGAATCTGCTCCAGGTTAACTAAACTAAATGTCAGTTCTTCTCATTCAGTTCTCTGCAACTTAGGTGTCTTCCTTTTGTAAAGTAGGAAACTAAGCAGCTTGCCTTCTGCTAAGGGAATCAGAATGTCTACATTTCCTCCATCCTAGTTTGGATCTCTGTTATTCAGATTTTCTCACTGAAAAGAACAGGTTGAGCAGTGTCTAGCTCACAATCACTAATCCCACGGAAATAAAGTGGATGATTCTGCCACATTTACAGAACCATTTTCCTGGTAACTCCAGGTTATTTGGTCTAGATGGAAGACATATATTGGTTCATTTCCCATATTGAGCACCTACTATGTGCCTAGTATTCTTCCAATCTATGTTAGAAAACCAAGGATATGAAAACTTCACCACTTTATTTCCCATTATAAGAATGTGATGACTGGGCTCGATGGCTCAGCCTGTAATCCCAGCACTTTGGGAGGCCGAGGCAAGTATATTGACTGAGCCCATGGGTTTAAGAACAGCCCAAGCAATTTGGCAAGACCTCGTCTCTACAATAAATTAAAAATTAGCCGGGCGTGATAGCGCATGCCTGTAGTTCCGGCTACTTGGAAAGCTGAGGCAGAAGGATCATTGGAGCCCAGCAGGTCAATGCTGGGGTGGCCTTGAGCCTGCCACTGCAATCCAGCCTGGGTGATCGAGTGAGACTCTTACTCAAAAAAAAAAAAAAAAAAAAAATTTCCGGGCATGGTGGTGCATGCCTGTGCTTCTAGCCACTTGGAAGGCAGAGGTGGAAGGATGGCCTGAGCCCAGCAGGTCGAGGCTGCGGTGGCTGTGAACGTGCCACTGCCCTCCAGCCTGGGTGACAGACAGAGACTCCAACTCAAAAAAAAAAAAAAAAAAAAAGGCCAACCCCCTTGGGTCCCCTCCCACTGTGGGAGTTTTTCTGTTCTCTTAACAAATCCTGCTTAAAAAAAAAAGAAGAAGAAGAATGGGATAAGGTGTACTTTATTTAATTTGTTGGGAGGTGAAAGAGAAAAGTAGCAAAGCAATTATATTATTTTGAATGCATTCTGTTATTCCACTTAAAGGTTCTGTCAAATTAGTCAACAAGTTGTTTAAGTATCCACAAAGAACATAACCCTGTATATAATTAGTAAATGTAAATGGGATGTAGTTGTAATTTAAAGAGTAAAAATGGTAAGCATTTTAATTTACTTAAATTCTATTAAATAATTATTTAAAAGTACCATTCTTGGGGAATTGTGTGTATGTGAGGATATTTTCTGTCAGTTTACAGAACAAATCAACAGATCTTCCAGGAAAAGTTTAGCTTTTACTCAGAAGAGTAGGTATTTCCATATCCGTGGGACAACTTGGATGCCTTATAAATATAGGATTTGGACTGCAGAAGCACCAGGACTGGTGAGGGCTCCAGGTCTGAGTTATAGGAATGGGGTGAAAAGTGGAGAGAGATGACTTTTCTTTATTCTGATGATAGGAGGAATTAGATAACAGTGTTCATTCTTAAGTGAAAGGTAGTATGGGAGAAAAAGTGTTTTTCAAAAAAGATATACTTCTTGATAAGGTGTCATCTGTAGATCTTTTGGTTCCACTGGATAATTTGCTATAGGATTTGTCATGTATTATGGGATCTTCCAGGAACCTAGAATCTAGATCCTTCCCACTAAACTTGTATTTGTTTAAGGGTGGAGGGGAGATCCTGGTACACCCCCCACAGAGGACGACTTTGGATAGCAGCCACAGCCAAAAAACCTTCCCCTCAAGAAGTCTCAGAACTCCAGGCTACATACCGCCTTCTTCGTGGGAAAGGTAACAGCCATATGTTCTCCTTTCAATCTTACTTTATGGAGAGAAGTCACTGATATTCATCTTCTCTCATTTCCTTCTTCCTATGGCTTTTTCTTGGTTAAAGGGGACTTTTATTTCCCTTGAGTTGGAGTCTTACTCCTTCGCCCAGGCTGGAGTACAGTGGCACGCACGCTCACGGCCACCCTAGTGTCAACCTGCTGGGCTCCGGCGATCCTTCCACCTTAGTCTTCCGAGTAACCAGAAACAGAGACGCGTACTACCATGCCTGTAGTTTATTATAGAGACGAGGTCTCACCAAATTGCCCCGGTGTGGGGAATGTCAAACCCACAGGCTCAGGCAATCCTCTCGCCTCAGCCTCCCAGAGTTCAGGGATTACAGGCTGAGCCACTAAGCCCAGCTTAAAGGGGACTTTTAATCCTTCTGTTTGTTTGTTTTGTGGCAAATCATAGACAACTGTTCAAAGTATTATTTCATCAAACAGTACAAATAAAAATACCAGTTTCCAACACCAGAAATCAACCAGCTCGTCTTAATTTTATCCAAAAACAAGTTTTATTGTTGTTGTTGTTGTTGCTTTAATCAGGGGTGACTCAAATAGACATCTGCTATTGGATTTGGACAGATAGAAGTTGATTGACTTAAGCAGCATATTTTGGGGATCACCCCAAGCATACTAACTTTAGATCCTGAAAAAGACCTCTGACTTTTGGGCATCCTGTTTTCCTTCTCCTTTCCCTGCCCAGTTGTCTTAAGGGTAGAATAAACAGATAACTTCTGAACGATCTTTTTTTTGCATTGGAATCTCAGTCTGTCGCACGGACTGGAGTGCAGTGGCATTCTCCCAGCCACCGCAGCCTCGACCTGCTGGGCTCCGACAATCCTTCCACCTTAGCCTTCCAAGTAGCTGGAACTACAGGAACACGCTATCACGCCCGGCTAACTTTTCTGATATATTGTAGAAAGGAGGTCTTGCCAAGTTGCCTGGGTAGGTCTTGAACCCACGGGCTCAGGCAATCCACTTGCCTTGGCCTCCCAAAGTGCTGGGATTACAGAATGAGACACTGAGTCTAGCCCTGAACTATCTTTCAAAGTTTTTAAGAAACTAAATTTAAGGAATCACTAGGATTCCTAGTTGTGGTGGCTCAAACCGCAATCTCAGCACTTTGGGAAGCTGAGGCGAGAGGATTGCCAGGCGTGATGGCTCAAACCACAATCTCAGCACTTTGGGAAGCTGAGGCGAGAGGATTGCCTGTGCCCACAGGTTCGAGACAGCTTGGGCAACTTGGCAAGACCTTGTCTCTACAATAAAAAATGAAAAAATTAGCTGGGCGTAGTAGTGTGCGCCTGTAGTTCCAGCTACTTGGAAGGCTAAGGTGGAAGGATCGCCGGAGCCCAGCACATCGCCACTGGAGTGGCCATGAGCATGCCACTGCACTCCAGCCTGGGCGATAGAGTGAGATTCTGCCTCAAAAAAAAAAAGTACATGCTTCCTCAAAAACACATTTCTTTTTTGACTGATATGACTGGCTTGTTTTAAATTGTATTCTGACGTTCATTCCTATGGTTTTTACCATGTTTTTATGATTTTTCATTTATCACCATAACTGCCTTTCTTTGCTTTGGTGGATTCTTTTTTTTTTGAGTTGGAGTCTCACTCTGTCGCCCAGACTGGAGTGCAGTGGTGGCTCCCGGCCACCGCAGCCTCGACCTGCTGGGCTCCGGTGATCCTTCTGCCTCAGCCTTCCAAGTAGCTGAAGCTACAGATGCGTGCTACCACACCCAGCTAATTTATTTATTTTTTTATTGTAGAGATGAGGTCTCACCAAGATGCCCGGCGGGTCTTGAACCCGCGGGCTCAGGCAGTCCACTCACCTCAGCCTCCCAAGGTGCGGGATTACAGGCTGAGCCACTCTTTGCTTTCAAAACCCATCACTCCAAACTCTAATTCAGTTGAGTGTAGTAGAATCAATTGATTTGGAATGAATTTGTGGGATCCTTGAACTTTGATGGAATGGGGGCAATAGTTTTTGGGTTTTGGTTTTTTTTTTGAATTGGAATCTCACTCTGTCGCCCAGACTGGACTGCAGTGGCCACTCCTGGCCACCGCAGCCTCGACCTGCTGGACTCCGGTGATCCTTCTGCCTCAGCCTTCCAAGTAGCCGGAATTACAGGCATGCGCTACCACGCCCGGCTGATTTTTTGATTTATTGTAGAGATGAGGTCTTGCTGCCCAGGTGGGTCTCGAACCCGCGGGCTCAGGCAATCCACTCACCTCAGCCTTCCAAAGGCATGGGATTACAGGCTGAGCCACTGAGCCCGGTTAGGGCAATAGTTTTTAAAGGAAAGGTTTCCTAGTTTAGCATAGAGATAGTGGATGAACCCAGTCACTCACTAGTTTTTTTTTTTGCTAAATACAAACAGTTGTGCCAATTAAACCTCATTGTTTTCCTACAAATAGATAATGGAAATAGTTACTTGTTCACAATTGAAAACAGATTCCTGAGTTCCAGGATCATAAAGAAGGAAATTTATTCAATCCTTTTGTTATTCTTGATTCAGATGTGGAATTTCCCAATGACTATCCATCAGGTTGTCTTCTGGGCTGTGTGGACCTAATTGACTGCTTGTCCCAGAAGCAATTTAAGGAGCAGGTAAGTAAAGAATACTAATTTTGGACAGATGCTTGATTTGCCGCTATGACTGACTCATAGGTCTTTCAATACAGAATGTCCTGAAGATAGCAAGGTAAATCCTAGCAAATGAATTTTGACATGTGAGGAGAAAGAGAGTCTTTTGATAAGAAAATATTGGAGGAGGGGGGAGAAAAGACCAAAGTAGAAGCAGACAAAACTTAGTGATGCTTTGGTTTCTTGTGTAGGGGGAGCTGATACTTATACATTTCTGCGTAAAAAGCTTTGTTGCAACCTGGCTAACAAGTATAGGGTCTTCCTCCCTTACCAAAACCTGACTTCTTTTTAAAGAAACACTAGATTATCTTTTGAACCATTTTTTATGGGTGGTTGGGCTGGTTGTTATTTCCAATTCTTTTGGTCCAGTCCATTGAACTCATGATAGGCAAGCTTGATTGTCTGGACTGTGGCAGATATGAGAGTGTGTGTGCAAATGTACGTATGTAGGTATATATATATGTGTATATATATCTTATTTTGGTCACTAAAGATTAAATTGACATACTTTTTTTAACTCTTTTTTTTTCAAATTATAAAGATGTGGGGTACCATTCAGGGTTAGGTATACAAATGTTGATTATGCAGGTGCCCTTGTTGATGAGGTATGCCCCTCCCTCCCCTAGTAGTTTCCCTCAACTGCCAATCTCACCCCCCTCCCCTGACAGTTTCTTTCTAGTAGCTCTACTGTCAATTGCTTTCTTATAGTATTATAATTGTTCAAGGTCCGCTTATGAGTGAGAGCATATGGTACTCTGTTCTTTGTTTCTGTGATAGATCATTGAGTATGATCAACTTCAAATCCATCCAAGTTGCTGCGAAGTCCGTATGTTTGTTTTTCCTTATGGCTGCATAATATTCCATTGTGTATATGTACTGCATTTTTTAAAATCCAGTTCAATTTCAATGGGCAACATGGTTGGTTCCATGTTTTTGCTATTGTGAATAGAGCTGTAACAAACATACGTGTACAGGTATCTTTTTTGTAGAATGATTTGAGTTCCTCTGGGTATATTCCCAATAGGGGAGTTGCTGGATCATATGGAAGGTCAATTTCTGTTTCTTTCAGAAATCGCCACACTGAGAGGTTGCACTAGTTTGCATTCCCAACAGCAGTGCAGAAGCGTTCCTTTTTCTTCTCATCCTCACCAGCATCTATTGTTGTTTGATTTATTAATAATGGCCATTCTTACTGGGGTTAGGTAGTATCTCAGTGTGGTTTTGATTTGCATTTCTCTGATGATGAGTGAGGCTGAGCACTTCATGTTTCTGTTGGCTGCCTGTATATCTTCTTTTGAGAAGTGTCTATTCATGTCTTTTGCACACTTTTTAATGGGGCTGTTTGTTTTTTTCCTTTCAGCGTGTTTGAGTTCCTAGATGTTAGGCCTTTGTCAGATATACAGTTGGCAAATATTTTTTCCCATTCTGTGGGCTGTCTTGAATTGACATACTTAAAGTACATTTTTGAACAGTAGAGGGAGCCGAAGGACTTTAACTTAATTAGGTAATTCCTGAAATGTACGGCTTTTATGTTTAGGCTCAGACTGGCAGAAATCCAAAGTGGGCAAGTCCTTCCTTAAAGCATGAAGAGGCTTACCAAACAGCATGCTTTTCCTGTCCTTTGAACAGTTACTTTAGGTAATAGGTCTTCCACCACTGTGCTTAAAAAACAATGTTTTGAGCTGGGCTCGGTGGCTCAGCCTGTAATCCCGCGCCTTTGGGAGGCTGAGGTGAGTGGATTGCCTGAGCCCGCGGGTTCGAGACCCGCCTGGGCAGCGAGACCTCATCTCTACAATAAATCAAAAAATCAGCCGGGCATGGTAGCACATGCCTGTAATTCCGGCTACTCAGAAGGCTGAGGCGGAAGGATCGCCGGAGCCGAGCAGGTCGAGGCTGCGGTGGCCGGGAGTGGCCACTGCACTCCAGTCTGGGTGACAGAGTGAGACTCCAACTCAAAAAAAAAAAAAAAAAAAAGTTTCGGCCGTGCTCGGTGGCTCACCCTGTAATCCCAGGAGTTGGAGGCCAAGGCAAGTGGATTGCCTGAGCCTGCGGGTTTGAGACCAGCCCAGGCAACTTGGTGAGACCTCCACAATAAGTAAATAAAATTAGCCAGGCATGGTAGCACGTGTCTGTAGTTCTGGCCGCTTGGAAGGCTGAGGTGGAAGGATCTCTGGCACCCTGCAGGTCGATGCTGGGGTAGGTGGGAGTGTGCCACTGTACTCCAGCCTGGGTGACAGAGTGAGACTCTAACTCAAAAAAACAACAGTGTTTCAGCTTAATTTTTCTCAGTAATTTTATTGTTTTTCGGACCTGTTTGCCTTTCCGTTACTGTTATTACTGTCTTCTTTCTTTGCTATTCTCAGCCATCTTGCCCTCTCCTTTCCTCACAGACTTAAGCTCATGGTCACTAACTCTCTAGATTTATGTCTTTCATTTTCTTGTGGGTTGTCCCCTTGGCCTCCTCTGATTACTTTATTTGTATGAGTACAGTGCTTGCATTTTGGTGTGAGTTTTGACTCCTAGCTGTGTGTGCGTGTGTATCACAATCTCACTGTCACCCAGGCTGGAGTGCAGTGTCATGCTCAAGACCACCCCAGCGTCAACCTGCTGGGCTCAGGCAATCCTTCCATCTCAGCTTTCCAAGTAGCTAAAACTACAGATGCACACCACCATGCCTGGCTAATCTTTTGATTTATTGTAGGGACGAGGTCTCACCAAGTTGCTTGCCCAGGCTGGTCTGGAGCCCGTGGGCTCTGGCAAACCTTTCGCCTCAGCCTTCCAAAGTGCTAGGATTAGAGGTGTGAGCCACCATGCCCAACCGACTCCTAGCTCTTAGTTCTCCTCTTAGTACCTGATCCAGATCTAGGCAGAACCACGGACAGGTGGAGACCTCTTGTGCCTCACACACCTGTGCCTGTGCTATCCCTCTATGAATCTTTAACCCACTTTTTTTTTTTTTGAGTTGGAGTCTCACCCTGTCGCCCTGACTGGAGTGCAGTGGCACGCTCCCGGCCACCGCAGCCTTGGACCTGCTGGGCTCCGGCGATCCTTCCATCTCAGCCTTCCAAGTAGCTGGAACTACAGGCGC